TGCGTTTTAATACAATTATAAGCAAAAAATCTACAAATCAGTAAAACAAGGAAAACCAATAACTTTTCCTTGCGCTATTGAATCACTATTTATACCAAATTGCTTAGCATTTTTCAATACAAACACCAAATCAGACCAATAAATAATACCACCACCTAGACCTTCAAATAAACTCCATGGATGGTCAGGAATTCGTACTTCACCTTTATGAGTTTTTACTTCCCATTCACTTCCATACAAACCAAAAGCTAAAGCTCTTTTAAGTTGAACTTCATCTCGTGTAACAAGATAAGTTAATAAAAAAGCATAAGCATTACCAAGGGTATTATGACAAAGTCCTGTTACACCCTTTTTCAAAATTCCACGCTCCCAGACTAAATCAGTTTTAGCAAGTACATTCGAAAGGATATTTTTGGATGATACGTGATTTGGATATAAAGAATAAATTTTTAAAAAGGAAACAATTATTCCTGGAGCTCCGTGGCAAAACCTGTTAAAATAAATATTAAGTAAAAAGTGATAAAACAATAATAATAATAATACAAAAATTATGTATGTTAAGATGCTTACTGAATGAGATCATCATGAGTTGATTGTATACGTGCAGGATAGTTTTCATTACTTTGAACTAGTCCTGCAAGCCATTCAGTTGTTTGAAATAATTCACCCAGGTAAGGATGTGCTAATTCACCACATTGAAGGATGGTAGAAATGATTCCGGCTATAAACACATAAAAAAAGATCAAAAAAAAAAGTTTTATACAGTAGAATAAATACATTTTATGTGCATACAAACCGACACCATGTATGGCACCAATATATTCTGCATTATGCCAACTCCACATTAAGTCTGGCTTCGTAATTTTGTCATTAACAGTCTTCAACTCCAAATTTTCAACAGTCATTCTTTTTGCACCATCTCTACCATCCTTAATAATTAACTCAATAATTTCTTTTAATTTCTCATTTTCAAGTTTTGACATAATTTCCTCATTATCTTTACAATACTTTCGAATAAATATTAAAGCATAAAGATATCCAGCTCGACCATATAATAATTCATTTGAATCTTCTTTTATCAATAATGAATGATATTTATCAAGAATGATATCAAGATATTTCAAAGATTCAAGAGTGTTTTTTTCAATGATCTCATAAAATACAACGGCCAAAGCAAGTGGTCCTATATGACTACCTATAAATCCTAAGTGTTTTGGAGGCGTATTGCGAACTGCTGATAAAGAGGCAGATAGATACGTGGAGCATAAAAGAGATACTTTGTCACCAGCAATTGTTAGGTCAGGAAAGAGCTGGTGTAAGTGAAAAAACATGAAAGCGATTCCTCCATATCCTAATATTTTATAAATTTTTTAGTAAATTGTAAATTTAAAAAATTGAACTTGTTAACTTTATAAAAAATCACGCAAATTTACAAAAGTTTTTCATATAATTTTTACCAACAAATACATCATAGTAACGACTATCGTAAGTGGCTGGAAATTTCGAAAGGATCTTCTCAACACCGTATCTAATAAATTTTTCGAATTTTGCGGGATCACAGTCGTCAATGTTTGGAAGGGTTAAAGTATTTTGCAAGTAGCGTTCTGGCATGTTTTTAAAGTTATGAATGTGTGGAACAATATTTTTATATTTTTTTTGCAATGATTATGTAATCAGTAATCATTACATAACCATGACATCATTATCAAATGTGTGCCATGTTAATGGCGCATAAACCAGCCACAAGATCTTTTTTATTTCTGTTTCTGTATGTTTTCTATTTTTCTTTTGATTTGAAGACATAACAGAAATAATATAGTTTTTAAGATTTTTAGTTCGCTCATTATAAAAAAGTACTATTATAAAGAGAGTTGACCGTACTTAATATGTAGTACGGTAATTCAAGAAGTATATAAGGATAACAAAACTTATAAAATTTAATTATAAAAGTGGGACGTCTTTAACATTAAGGAACACTAATATTATTCTTTTTTAAGATACGATTCAGCATAGACTATGAGAAAAGTTTTTTTCATTTAAAGAATTTTTTTTGTAAACTATATAGTACGTGTTTATTTGAGATTTATTATCATACTTTTAAAGCCAATATATATATATATTATACGCGTATTATATTAACAGTTAAGAACTTTGACGTTTGGTCTATAAAAAATCTTGAAAATTATAATTTATAAACATTATAAATATTTTTTAAATTCTAAACAATAGTATTAGAAGCTAAAAATTATGAAAAAATGAGAGAAACGCGCTTTTTTGAAAATAACAAGATCATTATTCGAGTAGAATAACGTTAAAAAATGGAGTTTTCGTTCTATTAAAATTTATAGTTTTGTTAATGTAATCATTAGAATTTTTTAATTGGCGCAAATTTTCTGGCTGAGCTAATTAATGCGCCACCAACCTGGCACACATTCAAGAATTGCTTATATATTAACAAATTTGTGATTCTCTAACAAGAAGTGTTGGCAAGCTTTTTTTTACTTCATATGGCACCAGAGATTTTACTCAAACAATTGAAATTTATGGTTTGGTATTTTTATCATCTTGAATAAAGGCTTTCTTGATAATGAACTTGCGATAAAAATTTGTCATAGATTACGTCCAGAAGATTTTGATTCGGCAGTGATAAACTTTTGATTTGTGCGAGATTAGTAAGGGTGCTCTCAAGCATCTTCCTGAGCGTGATTAGATAGCGAATGAGATGATGCACAATCATTACAATAAATGAATTTTTTATTTTAATCAACAAACTTTTTACAACAAACCACCTTTTACCTGCCTTTGAAAATTTTACGATCAATAGAGTATTCAAAAGAGATCACTCAAGCAGCTTTGCCAAGGACCATTATTATTTTACTTCACGCATTAAAAGTTTTTATGGAAAATGAAAAAATTGTGAAGTCCAAAAAACAAAATTAAATACTCACCATCTCTTGGCTTTCGCTCAAATGGCAACAAATTCAACTATTCCGTCAATATGGTTTGGTGAAATCAGCGAATGAAGTACTAGAAACTACCGAAGTTTATACTTCACTAGAATTTTGATAATCAGTAACATCTGTTACTTTCTTTTGGATAGACGCTTTTTTTTTAATTTTTGACGATGACATATGACAAATAATAGAAATCAATAGGGGACTGCTCAAATATTGACTTCAATGGTTATTTTGATTAATCGTAATAAATGAGCACCAGTACGATCACTCACTAATCACATTGAAATTGATGCTTGAGAAGATTACAATTATGTCATAAATTGCATTTTCAAATTTTCGCCAAAAATTTTTTGTAAATATGGTTATGCTTGAGCACTATTACGATCACTTGCTAATCACATTGAAATTGACGCTTGAGAGCGATCTTAGTGTGTTTAATCTGTACGAAAAGTTATGACGAAGATTGTTCTTGCTAAGCAATAGATTTGACAAAAAATAAATAGGGTTCTGGATATAAGATAAGCTTTCATAATAAATATATTACACAAGAAGTCACTAATAAGATAAGCTTTCATAATAAATATATTACACAAGAAGTCACTAATAAAAAAAGTTCGATATTGACCGGACTAAAGAAAATATAACTCAAGTTATAATTCCAAACAACCAAGTTTTTATTAATATTTGTCGAAACTGCATTGAAAATTAAAATAAAATCATAGTAAAAATCTAAAAAAGTATTTTCATTTATGTTATTTAAATTATAATGAATTTTTAAAATACAACGGTTGATCTAAGGAACCGTTATTTTAAAAATACCTAGCTTGTCTGAATTAGTTGCTATTGACTGAAGTAATAGAAATTGAATCTAATATAATCTGAAGCGCAACATTATCTTTGTCATTAGAAGGATATATTGCCGAAATCAAAAACTTATCGAACCAGCTAAAAACAATAATTCGGTCAACTTTTTATCAGATATCCCAGAATTAATGAAAACAGCTGTAATGCTTTGATTGCCACAAGGATTGAAAAAAATAGAAAATTCCGATGATGCAAAATAATAATAAAGATACAATAAAATTATACCTAAACTTAACGTATGAAATTCTTGATGAAGTAGAGCAGTATAGTTCATTTTATAAGTTAGTACAGACTTTCAAAAAAAAATATTTCAAGAAAAATTATTAAAAACGAACAATTATAGCGTTCAACCTAATTCTGATCATCAAAAAAATGTTCAGTAATATTTTAGAATTATACATGACACCAAGGAAAATTGGAATTTCAATCATCTTAGAATTTATGCTCGGCGGCAAAAATACATACATTGGTTAATAAACTATCTAGCTTTATACTCACTAATTTATGTTAGTCATTTTTTCAAATTTTTCTGAAAATTATCTTAATAAAAATATTTATAAGATATTGGTCATGCGACGATTAATCTCGTTTTGTCGGAGAAATGGTTAGTTGAAATGTGCCGCGCAGCGGTACAATTATTTGTTCTGATAAAACAAATTTTATGATAATTTATCCAATATCGATGTTATTGTGCAATTATGATCATGAGATTGTTGTACCTTATGTAATAACGTACAAAAATAACAATAAGAAAAAAAATTATAATCATAAGAGTTTGCACGATAATTATAGAAATATTGTAATTATTAAAATAAATAGAAGTTTTAAGAAATTTTAATAATAGAATATAGTAAATTAAAATATATATTGTTATTGCTATAGTTATTTGCACCGGTTACTGGAAAAGGTGCACTGGCAATTACGTACATATTAATATTGATGTATATAAAGGATCGATCTGGTTTTAGTGTGACAGCGTCACACCTTTATTACAGTTTGCAAAACTTTAACGTCAAATTTTGCATCGTATCACTTACAGAAATAAGTGTAACTCTAAACCGTCATACAGTATATGGCAATAGGCGCAGCCACTTGTTTACTAAATTAGAAGTTTGTGATCCATCAAGTAGAATAATTTAATTGCCCGCATTTTTATTTCAAAAATCTTAAATTTTCGAAATGATTCAATATCTTCCTAACGAATTACATATTCAAATTTTATTTTATGTTGCTAATGAAACAAAGTAAATTTGTAAATTTTATGGAATAACTCTGATTATTTTCGTTTAAATATATTTATTTATTATAATAATTTTTATAAATCATAGCTTTGAAAAATTTTGCTCTCTACGAACCGTTTGCAAAAAGTGGAGCTCATTTGTTCCTTTAGTAACTCATGAAGTTGTTATCTCTAGACTAAATTCTGGTTTAAAATTTGAGGTAAATTAATAATCAAATAAAAAAAAAATTTTTAATAATTTATAGATTATTAATCTTTTTTATATAGTTAACAGACTGGAACGAGACCAAATGGTCCAAAAAATTACCACCAACATATTGTGATTCCACAAAGACTTTTACCTTTCTATTCGATAATACCGACGGTACCATTAAATCTTGCAATAATTACGAAGAATCAGGCATAAATAAAATCAATTTTATAGCCTATGTAGAAAGGAGTGAAGATATAGTAAGTTCAATTAAACTTGGTGCTAAATTCGGTGAATTGGCTTTTCCTGAATTTAAAAATGTTGATATATATAAATATGAATTCGATCACCAAAATAACGTATGTTTTAAACGGGAGTCTGAAGTTGATGAGAAGGGTGAGAGTACTAGTAGCGTAAGACTTTATAGTTTTACTATTGCAGCTTGGAAACTTTATTATATTTTAGATTGTCTTAAATTTGATCGGTATGTTTTTTTGAACTTTATAAATTACTTTATATTTTAATTCGTGAATTTTTATTGAAAATTTTACAACAAATTGCAATTCTATTTTGTAGCAAACTTCCAAATTTGAAAGAGGGATTTCAATATCATTATGAGAGAATTCGATATAGGTGCTGTGTTAGGAGTAGGAGTGCGTACTTTAATATTTTAATACCAGAAATGCCTTAATCACTTAATTAGACCGATTTTTTCTAAAATGTTAATCTCTTTTTTTGTTAAAGTTTATGCTGCTCCCGATGATGATTAGTTATCATTAATTTATTTGGCAGTGCTTTTCTGCATTTCGCTATTCTGATATGTATTTAATCTAATTGCTGTGTCCTCTCAAGACAAAAATAAATATATAATAGATTATTAAATTAGCACGTAATTAAAAAGTTATTACTGTATTTGTTATGCCTCATTTTTAAATATTGTCAATTATTAATTGACATATGTCTTGGTTCAATTTTCGTCGATTAAAAAACGACTTGGGTCAATTTTTAATATATACAGACTTGTAATTAGAATTGTTATTGCACGCATAGATATTACCTGTGATGGTAAATGACCTAAAATAACCCAAATAATATATAGTTATTGAATGCGATGCAGCCAATAACGGAAGTTATTTGTAAAATTATTTCATTATCTGGGTGAGTAGCATTCAATAACGTTATTATCTGATATCTTATGACGGCCAAATTAACAGAATGTTGGTATGATCATAGTAAAACCCTACTTACATATATAACAGTTTTTGAAAGGCAAAAAGGGGGAACGTGACTTAAACTATTGAATCAAATTGATCTGTTCTTATCGGATAGTTTTTTTTTACAGCTGTTTTCATAATTTGTCACTCTATCGTACAGATGCATCAAAATGACAACTACTCAATACACTATTTGGAATCCGCCTCGCTGCTCACGTGATTTACGGTTAGTTCTGTATCATGTTTACTATTACTATTACTTCATTGATATCGGGCTATCGAAATCCCTACCCATAACTAATCGAAAATACCGTTCATCGTCCTCGGTGGGTGGGTGAACATTTACGACAAAGCTAGAATTGCGTCGATCTGGCAGCAAGGGATATCTAATTTCCATTTCATCTCCCTTAAATAGCCACTAATGCGATAGGTGACGCGAAGCGCCACCCATCTTATACAGAATTCAACAATTATCGCATTACACACGATATGAGGTTAGGATCAATAAGAATTATTGTAATTTCTATTTAAGATTGAGTTTGTCTGTATTGAAATTGTCCACATTTCTACTATTAATTATTGTAAAATGTTCTGTTGCTAAACTTTTTACTCCAATGACCGTGATATATGTTTAGTTGTCATGATTTTTGTAGAGTTACTGGAAAATTTTGCTACAAAACTTATTTGCCACTTCGATATAAATAACACGTAGTTAGGTTGAGTTTTTTTGCATTGAGATTTCATGATTTTTATGATGAGATACTGTAAAAATTCTTACAGGACTTTATACAAATTCCTGGTCATTTTCATAAAATTTTGATGATAAATTCCGGGTAAAAATCAAATCTGGATAAAATTCAGCTTTTGATTATAATGAAGTACAAAATATGAAGCCGAATCTTACCTGGATTTGATTTCTACCCGAAATTTACCGTGATTCTATAGAAATGATCAGGAATTTGTATATGGTTTACCCCGAAAAATGAGGATACGCTTTTCATTGAGTCATGAGCTACTGTTAAAATATTCTATTAAAATCTTACTATTTTTTTGTCCATAGAAATGTGATTAAGGTTGAGATTGTTTGTACTGGGATTATTGTGATATTTATCATATTATTGTAAAAAATAAATTTTTACAAAACTTAATTACTATTAAATGACATATAATATGAGTGCTACCAAGTAGAGATGGGCTATACGATTATTTAATATTAATAAATATTATTTAAGATTTTAGTATATAAGTAATAATAACTTAGAATTTAAAGTTCTTGATATATGTATGCAATAGCTATGATATAATTTATATCAAATTCGAAAAAAATTTACAATTTGTTAGAAAAAATAATCATTTTAAAAAAAAATCGCTCAAAAAAAAAATTTGCTTAGAAAAAAATACGTAATTGCTCAAAAAAAAAACAATTGCTTAAAATAAAAAAAAAAACAATAAATAAACAATGTTTAGAAGTGTTATCTAATTTTTCTAAAAGAGATAAACCCCCAATGCTGTGCTATATTCAATCTGATTAAAAGGCCAAGTACTATATACTTCAATAATTCGATTATAAGTATCTTGATCATACATATTAAATTCATCTAAATTTTTAATTGTTGTCACTAAAGTTTCTTCAGAATTTTCTAGTTGCTGTTCTAAATGTTGGAGAGTATCAATTTCATTTTCAATAATAAAATCCATTTCCAAATTATAATTTGTATCTAAATTATTATTAGTGTTAGTATTTATTTGATTTATTTGTTGAAATTATTTAGTATTTTTTTTAATATTATTTAAACTTTTTTCATTTTGAGAAATATGTAATCGAATACATGAAAGCTTTGTTACTTGTTCATTTGTTAACCTATTACATTTTGAAATATGAATACCTGCCATTAATGACCAAAATTATTCACTATCAGCAGATGTAGGTGGTATTGACATAAGTCATGCTGCAAATATTGCTAATTTTGGAACCTCATTGATAAAATTATTCTGGAAATAAACTGGATCTTTGACCAAATAATCATTTCAATTTCTTTCAAAATTAAATGGATAAGATTGTTATTCCAGTTAATAAGTTGCTTTCAAAATCTTAAAATATCTTTATCAAGCTAAATAAATTACTAGCTTTTTTTTTAGCAAAAGTTAAAAATTCTAGACAAATAACTTTTGCTAAAAAATATTTTGGATATAATAACTAGTTAATTAAAAATACTGGATTATAAATTCTTTGTCAATGATGTTTAATTAATGATGGATATAATATAATCTTGAAAATCATCATAAATTGTATAAGTAATTTTTTGTATTCAACACTATAAATAAACTTTATCTGCAATTGTTGCATATTGAGATTCAAAGAAAATAGTTACAAGATAATATAATTCTAAAAGTTGAATTATAATTTTCAAAATGTATTATTTCTTAAAATAGATATAAATTTATTATTATTAGTTGAAAATTTTCTTTCATATGTTATTTTTTAAGAATTGTGGTTTATTTTGAATTTGCTTTAAAGATGTAAAAAAAGAGTTCTATTGAGTAAGTGTTGGAAGAGAAAATTAAAAAGTATTATCACAAGCATGATCTCAGATAAATTGAAGAGCTTGTATACTTTTTTGAAAATAAGTAATAATTTTCATAGCCAATATTATTAGTAGATTTCATATACTGTATGTATACTTTAATATATCACCAACTAAAAGATTTAATTCATGAGCAATACATGATAATGTTAAAATTTTTTAATATTGTTATACTAACAATGTTTTCATTCAAATACAATTAGCTGCTCTATCAAAATAATTGCACTAATTTTATCAATTCAAAGTTCTGTTATTACTTCTACTAAATCCTGAAGAATTGTTGCTGATGTTTGACTTTCTCTATAGTATTTTTACATTAATGTCGAAGTGTTTCTTGACTTATGGGGTTTTACTCAATTGAACTTTATGAAAAGACTCACTTTACTTTACTGCAAAGACTGGAGTATCATACCAGATACTGCCACATGTATACTATATACTAAGTGATATATAAACACACAGTTTATTGTTTAGATGTTTCTTTATTATTAAAGACTTTCTATTCGTCTCTCTTTAATCTAAACTCATTAAATACTAAAAACCATTGTTCTATTTATATAACAAGATTATCGATTATGCAATGCATAAGTTATATAGACCTGATCCTGATCCCGTGCTAATAAAATTTTGCAGATCCTCTCCAGGTGACAAATAGATTATCAATTAACCTTATTTTGTATTTAGTAAAAGTTCTCAAAAATAAAAATCAGTAAACTTTATAGATATAAAATTTTGTACTAAACAACTTTATTTAAAGATATAAAATTTAATGCCAAACTTTACATAAAAAATAAAAATAGATTATTATAATAAACAAAGAAGTTGCATATAGAATAACTGAAATTTTAACTTTAATATATAGCAAACCTAATTTTTTAACAATGTAACCTACTTTTGTCTTCTAAATAAAGTTATTTATAGTATAGTTTTATATAAAATCATTATTTTAAAATTAGTAAATATTAGTTTTCAATAATGTTTTATTTTTAAATTATACGAAATTAACAAATTTTAATTAAATTTCATGCTAACTTTGTTTGCCATCTCATATTGCACATTGATATACATTTAATTTTAAGTTATTATGTAGACCAAGAAACATTATAGCTAGGGTTAAAAATTACATTTTACAATCTTACAATACATGTAATTTTTTACATAATTTCAGTAAATCAAATTTCATATAGCTTACATATCATAATTTACCAGCTTTACAAAAGTTCAACTATCATTATTGCATTATTTGATTTATTTAATTTGTCCCCTCAACTATGAAAATTTTGATTTCAAAAAGTGCAATTTATGTGAATTACAAATTATATAAAAACTATATTACTGTAAACTTACACAAAATTACACAAAATTATATAAAATTACAGTAATTTTACAACCCTAATTATAGCTGCAAAATTTATATACCACATTTCTCTAAAAATAAGTACACCAAAAATAAACACTACTTGCCTGCATTATAAAAAATTTGGCCTGAATTATAACTATCTTGACTTACATTAAGTGCAAAAAGAGATGCTTATTTTTGAAGAAATATAGTAATTTTATATATTTTTTATTTGAGTTTTATATATAAAAATTTCATCATATAAATAATATTAATTTTTCATTTAAATTTTACTTTTAATTTTGCTGTATTTATTCCAAATGGAAGTCTTTATTATCCATATATCCTTGTTAAAAAAAAAACTGGTTTAGTGGTTAAATTAATTAACAGGTTTTCTATCATTATTTTGAAGAAATTCTTTATTTAGATGTTTCTAATCCATTTACAATAATTGACAAATGTCTCAATTATTTTTGGTAACGACCTATAGTCAATTATTTATTTACATTGATTAATATGATGCAAGTAAACTATAGTAGATTAATATCACATCTGTTGGAAATGTACCTAATAATTAATTGATTTCTATTTTTAGTGGCTTTAGTTATTTTGCTTACATTAATATCTCAAATAAACTTTGGATATTTAATATATTAATATTTAATTCAACAAATGCATCTCCAGCTCGGTTGCTTGCTGTGTAATAACTTTCCTAATGAAAACATTTTATATTTGGTAGATATGAAGATATTACTATCTCATAATTACCTTGCGATTATCTTTCACAACTATTAAATAAAATAAAGCTATTTTTATAATGTTAATTGATAAATATTGCTTATCTCATTCTTACATATTTTGCTATCCTGTCAAAAAATATACGTTACTCTAGATATATCGATAATTTTTTTCATTAGCAAATAAATTTAAATGTCAATAAATGAGTTATACAAATATTTTATACTAAAATTTGAAAAAATGTCATTATAGTGTAACTAGTGTGACGTGTATTATAAACTTTAAATTTTTTTGTTTTCTGAATATACATTCCAATATTTCTTTATTAGCATATTATTGTATTCTCATAAATATGTGGTCATTGTTAGAGGTAAAAAGAAAACATAATTTAAGGATCATGACCTAGGACCCATGATCCCATGAAAAGATTGATGACCACGATTCGATCGACACATATAATCGTACCCAATCAAGCATGCATTAGGCGCCTAAAATACAAACAATTGAATGGTGAAGCTCATATAACCAAAAAAGGAAAATGGGTATGAACGATCAAGCTGAGGTTTTAGAATGGCAAAGTGAAAGAATAATGGGTGATAAAGAAGTAATAAGATAAGAAAATATTAATAAGGCATTAAAGTTAAAATTAGAAAACAGCCTTAAAGTAAAGTGTACGTACTAGAATCTAAGAATGTTTGGTGGAGGTAATCTAAGTCAAAAATCCAAAAGTAGCATAATCAAGTGGAAGTTGTAAAATGTATAAAAGACTGCAAAATTCATAATAAAGAAAATCATCTTCCATGCGCCTGAAATAATATTAGTAAGGGCAAAGATCAAGTGTTAATAAAATTCTCTCGATAAATAAAAACTTTAAACCTAAATAAAATACATACTCACCAAATCGTATCACCGCCTCTATTCGAGCCTTCAGTTTGACATAACACGAGATTTCTGGCTCTTTAGCGACAGACTCACCGTTTTCGCCAGCTTCATCTTAAACCATTACATACTTGCATTTTAAATTGTAATTTTGATTTTGCACAAAAGAGATAGAATTACCAATTAAAATCCCAAATTAATTAATTTAGATAAAAGTTAAAACGGCATTCTTATGAAATTTGGTTTGTTAAGTTGTTTAGCAAATTGGTAATCTTTAATCATTTTTAAATTCAAAAATTTATATTTTTATAAAAGTTAAATGTAAATAAAAAAGCCAAAGGATGTTCGATACAGAGATTCAAAAAAAAATTAAAAGAGTGATAAAATTGATTTTAAAGATTTCTTATTCTTTACATAATCTTAAATTTTTAAAAATTTGGTTACAATAATATAATTATTATGTTTTTATTATGTTTTTTAATATATAATTATAACTATATTTTTATATATATCAACTATCAAGAATTTGAAAAAAAACAAAATATAGCAGGAAATTTTTTAAAAAAACTTTCAAAACATTATAATAAGAGCGTTTTTGTTTGAAGGCAATTAGTTATATATTGTATTAGAAAATATTTATTTGATGCAGGGCGTCCCCCATGAAAGATTTAAACCAATGTTAATTAGTGTTAGGGCTGGGTTTAGGGATTTACTAATTTTTCCCACAGTTCTATTGGACGAATGTAAATACCATTTCCCATTGACGAAACAAATTATATCACTGATCAGAGCGGTTAAAAATTTCAAATGATTATTTTTGTCGTTGAATACTGTTTTGTTCTTTTGAATATAGTGCATTTTTTTTTTAATCTATTAGTAAATAATCTTGTTTGAACGATAAAAAATTTTTCGAATATTGTTTGTATCAGTAGTTTTAATTATCAACTATTTTTTGTCTAAAGAAAAGTAAAACTAAAAAATAGTTGAATAGAGTTGAGTATTTTAAAATTACAAGATTTTGTAAACACAAGCCTCTCAATAATTTGTATTCTCAAATAAAGTAACGGACAAAAACTTTATAAAAATTTCTTGGTTGTGTCGAAGCACTTATTTTAATTAATGATTTGATTATTATTAGTAGAAAAACTCTTAAAGTGTATAAATAAATACCTTCACTTTTTACAAGTAGAACATTTTGAATTTCTTTTTAAGAATCACATAGCTATGCTAAGGTGGCATGATCTAATTTCTCCAATTAGAAACAGTATATCATACATCCAAATCACAACTGGTGGGGAATAGGCACCCGGCTTAGGGTAAAATTGAGAGAAGACTCATTTTTTATTAGTTACAAACAGGTCACCATAGTAAAGTTTTGAGGTACACCGCGGTGCCCATTGGATTATTGTTTTCATTAATTATTTATTCATAATATAGGATTTAAAATTTAAACCTTAAATATAATTTACTGATGCATTCATTCTTGGTTTTAACACGACTACTTTGCAATAAATAAGGTTATTACTGCTGATTAAATTAATATGCATAAGGGTTAAATGAAAGGAACAAAAATTTCAATCTACAAATGATTATTATACTTGTGAATAAAAGAGAAAAAAACAACTAAGAAGCGATTATTCGCAAACGGAAAAAAAGACTATATTAAATGTACATGCCTTTTATGCAATCATTATTTTCTTTTGCTATAAGCTCAATTATTTTATTAATCAAGATTTAGCCTGTATGTGCAATAAAGTTTTAAAAACTTAAACGCGCTACATAATCAACGCGAAATATACTAGGAAAAATACATATCATTATAAAATGTGAGTTTGTGAATTTGCATGTTACTATTGTTATACGACGATACCAGCTGTGTTCTTCATTTCATAATGTCTATGCAGATGCATCAAAGACGCAATTTTGCATATGTAACGTGACCGGACAAATAATCATCCCACGCTTTAAACTTTAAATTATTGAATAAAACGCTTTTTGATACAATCATTGCTTTGTACTTTAGTGTAATAGAAATCAAACCTCAGCTTTACGAATATATCATTGTTACTAAATATTGCCCTTTAATTAAACTTATGACCTTGTTAATGTATTTATTAATTTGAGTATCTCGCATTAATTCACAAGTTAACCATCAGAGCTTCATGTATATAATAACCTATGTAAAAAAGGTCAACAGATCGATAAGATAGTCTAAACAATGATATGCTATGTTTTCACATGCGAGTAACTGTATAGAAGCCTTGCTTTTAAATTGACATTAACAACTCTTGAACCTGTTTAATAATAGTGACGAAAACAGAGTGGGCAAGTATAGTTTAATATGCTGCTTGTTTTGGAAATCAGGCGTAAAATTTATTAAGCACATGAACGCCAAGTTGGATAAAAGAAGTCAGTATAAGAATATAGTATAGGATTTCTACCTACATTCGAGAAAGTGATTTAGATCCGCACCCGATCCCTTTCTCGCTTGTAGAATTTTACCGACTGCTATATGCCACCGGCTGATGTTAAACATTTCTAATTCTACTAAATATGTATTAACGTTAATAACTTATGATTATTTATTGGCCTGCTTTATGCAGATGGAAACCGCCGACGCATCGCTAATTTTAATTACATTAACTTCTTTAGTATTGATATATATGCTGCATAATTCAATAAAGCAATGAAGTTTAATATAATCATCAAGAATTTGTATATTTAAAATACTAAATATTATATAAAAGAACTTGTACACGGTTTTTTTTCATTTAAATGGATCTCAAATACCTTTTAATTTTGTTGTTTCTTGTATTCTTTATTTCTTCTGTTCACAATCAAGCAGTTTATGAATGTGACTATAATACTACATGTAAATGTCCTAAACTCCCACAGGGACAATATTGTGGTGGTCAAATTGGTATGTAAATAAATTAAAACCTTTCGCTTTATTAGTTTTTTTATTTTTATTTTTATTTTTTTTAAACATCAGGATGCAATCCGAACAATGTATATGAATGTAATCCTTCTGGCGGAACCTGTGAATATGGTTATAGAATATCATGTGCATGTTGTGGGAAATTAACATGTCATCCGGATGAAACTATAACAGTTACTGTAACGAAGCATGTGACTGATACTTTATCAGTCACCGTAACAACATCTTTGACAACAACTCTTACTAAAACAGAAATACTTACTGTTACAACACCTGTAATGACAACGGTAACAAAAACGGAAACAACAACCAAAACAGCAACCAAAACAACAACTGAAACAACAACGATAACAACAACCGAAACAACAACCAAAACAACAACCGAAAAAACAACGGTAACAACAACCAAAACAGCAACCAAAACAACAACCGTAACAAAAAAAGTTCCTTTCGTAACTATTACAATTCCATGTCACCCTATCAATGATCCAGGGTCACCGTCATTTATTAAAATGCTTGATAGTATAACAGGTATATTAGTTATAATTTTTGCCACAATGTGGGTATGCTTATTTCATAGACCATCTCAGGAACGTGATGAAATAAGGTATGAAAATATACCCGATAGGAAATGAAATGTCTCGGTATTTAATTGGCTAGTTTACGTAGTATAAAGATAAATTATAAAAAACACTAGCTATTGAGTTGTGCGTTCTTCATGAGAATTTGTAAAGATTTTATAAATCATATATTTTTACTAGTCTATAATTTGCGATCAGTACATAGGTTTGGTTAAAATTTTATAAAATACAGTTCTAATATTTTAGTAATCAACAATAACAGATAAATTTTTGAATAAATAGTCAGTTTACAAATTAAATCTAAGTTAAAGGAAAAATGAATAATTCATTTGAGTCTTTCAGTAAATAAATGATTATTGGTTATATTTGTCTTTCTGATTATTAATAAGCTTGAAAAAACATTCAAGTTTTCACTTGTGGATTTATTATCCGAAAAAAAAACTTATATTAACATTAATTAATAAATAAATAAAAAAACAAACTTGTATGTGTAGTGATTGGCAAAATATGCATTTTTCGGAATCATGCTTTCTAATAAAATATAATGCACACAAAGCGGAATCATGGTACTAATGCTCATTAATGCACATACATGAAACTGCGTTGACAAATCTAGATATTTCTTTAGTATCTAGAACTGACAAATTTTTACTATATAATTCTTGATCACAATATTTATCAAGAAATACCGGTGTATCAAGACCTAATTGTTATATTAAATTAGCTATGAAATGTATGGATAAAGATCTTGATAAACGATCTACTACAACTGAAATTGTTGAAATAATTACTCATCGGTTAGATGAATAGATCAAGAGATTAAAAATGAAATCAAAAAAATAATTTTTGGAAGCTAATAATATTAAACCAGCACCGATTAAATAAATACATTCACAAGGCATGTATACCATCAAACTATATGATACGAAAATTTTTCAAAATAAATTTGCAAATCGATGAGTTCAGTAGAAGAATTATGTGTTTACGTGACTTGCATTAGAAATGAGCAACTTTAGTAATTTTTTTCTTATAAAAATTTCTGTCACCTAGATAGCTGCGCGACGTAATCGCGCAAAACCAGGAACGGAAGATCCGGAATCAGAATATTATACAGTATTTGTGAATTAAAATAAAAATAACTTAGATTAAAACTATATATAAAATAATAAAAAACTATATTTTTAAGATTTAAAACTAAGCCTATAAATTCTGTATTAAAATAATAATATATATTTTTAAGATTTAAAAGTTTATAAATTCATAGTTTTTTTTGAGTCCACGAATTACACTTTTTAGAAGTCATTCCTTCGCTCTTGAGACACGTGCATGTAAGGTGGGTGCGGGTATTATGGTACAGGAGCGACCGTCGATGTTACACGACTGACTTTTCACCCGGTGTGCAACATATAAAAAAACTATTTTACAATAC